TTGTGCGTCGAGAAATCCGACATTGTCATGTTCCTTTGTGATGGTCTGCATCGATTCATCAAATGTCCATATTTTCAGGATCCCGTTAAAATTTGATGACAGGAGTCTAATCTTTCTCGTATCTGTGAGAGGGAAAAAAAAAAAACAAAAAAACAAAAGGATCGTCAATTAATGTCAATGGACGCATCATGCTTTTTTGACAAATACCCACCCGAATCGTAAAATGGAGTGCACGTAACCCAATCATTATGACCAGCCCAGATTCGTACAACCTAAATGAACTCGAAATTAGCCAACAAAGCCTTGATCTTGGAAATAACCGTTGGATAATGATATACCTCCAAAGTCGCGCAATTCAATATCGTAATCTCATTTAGGAATCCGGTACAAAGAATAAATTTCGTCGGCTAGTAACGAGGCAGTTTATAACAACAACAGGGTAAGGATCCGGGTCTCAAAAATTATAATAGACGAAGCGTAAGCGAAAAAATACCTCCGCATAAGCCGCTAAAGGTTTGAGGCTCTTTATGACACCATCAAATGCACCTGCCATACACATCATGCATCGACCGTCTAACAAGCACCATTTCATAACTTCTCTAGAATTTGAGGCATGCATTTCGGTAAGTCTAATTGCGCGAATTTTCAAATAATGGATACACAAGTAATAGAAGTGATTATTACCCACCCATCCTCAGAGGCACTTAACAATATGTAATTGTTTCCGGCGCAACCATCAATTGATCCCTCAATAATGGTCAAAGCTGTGATGGTTGATTTGTGGCCAATGCATAAAACTTTATGTTGTAACTGAAAATAATTACGCGTTATGATATATAAGCCAGCTGCTCAACTCGTTGAACACCTTAATTCGCTCCCGATCTAATTTTCGAAATCTACCTGAAGATCACCTTTGTCATTCACCGTACAACGGTATATCCAAATGTGTCCGTCTTTTAGACCTGTCACAACATGTCCTTCTCTGTAAACCACGACTGTTACTGGTGCCGTGGGTAGTCGGTTCCAAAGTGCCAAAGGGACAACGAGCGACGACGAAGCCATGATGGAAAAGGAGTGTAAATTTTAAATCTATCGAAAGGCGGGTGGTATTAATGTGGAAGATAAAATAAAAATAAACGAGTAGCGACGATTTTAAGGCGTAGTAAGCACTATTTATTGTTATATTGGCGCACAACATTCAGCCCGAAGATGGTGCTATTTTTGTTAAATAATCGAGATCACATGAATGGTTACGTATTTGATTCGTCGTTTCAATTAACGGAAAACGTTAATGTCGAGGAGCTTTTACACATGCATGCTGAAAATCAAAACTTATATCACCCTCATTTTGAGTATATGGATTTGAAAACGTTTCCACCCTTGTAAACACGATAGATAGGTAGAAAATCAAATAAATCTGAAGATTTTTTGTGTTAGTCACCATGATTGAGGTCCAAGCTGTCAAACTCGTGGTCAATAATCGATGCCCTCATAATTACCCCTTGTGTTACGATAGACATTCATTACTTCATCATACATCAATTTACTTTAAAGTTGCCAAGGTCTGATCGATTCCACTTGACTCGAAAGTTCAGACTCGGTCAAAAACGCCGAATTATGATCCAACTTGTGATAGCATGTGACTTAAAAAAACGGTCGATTTGGTCGTTGAGGATATCGCGATTCTAATTGGGCGTAATAATCTGATTATCGCCTCCATACTTGTCCGCTCATTACCTTTACCATAAATGTGCCTCTCCAGGTACTGTGGTTCCAGGGGACCGACCTTTGCAAAAACTCTGTTTTTCTATCGAGGATCCCGGCAATCACGCCAAATTGACACCACACCGTAGATGGTAATTTGATAATGTTTGATTTTCTTGATCTACAATTCAACTTTCAACTGGTACCGTATATTACTGTATGTTTAAAGCATAAAATTTTAATATATTTCCATTAAGATAAATTATACTATCATAATATCGTTTGTTTAAAAAAAAAATTTTTCATTTAACGATTAATTTGATTAAATTAAATATCAACTAATCAATTTTTTTTTAAAAAAAGGATTCTCTTAAAAGTTATGCGCACATAGAACCTTTGGGAAATAAAATAATTGGGTATTTTATAAAGTAAACTACGTAGATATTGATTGATTTTTTTTTTTTTTTTTTTTTTTTTTTTTAGAAATATTAGTATATGTGAATAATAAAATATGTATGATAAAAAATTTTTTTTTCTTTTTACCAATCAACTCTTCGCCTAGATTGATTGGTAAAATCTGTTATATCAAATAATTATTGCCTTCGCTGTTGTAATTAATGAAATGGAATAAAAGAGTTACGAAAAATCTTTGTTTCTAATCTGTAATAAGACAAGGTGGGATCGGGACCAGAACTAATGACCAAACCAAAAGACTAGAACTGAAACCGGACTGGACTGGGACCTGCAGGACCGAGCTCATATTTCTTAGCGAACGGTCTGTTTGATCAATTATCACATGATACTTGTTTAGCCAATCAGAAATCCAGATTGTGAACAAAGGTAAAAAGATAAACGACGAGCTCGTACATCAACAACGATGGGTTTTCCATTGAGACGTCTATTGCACGCACCGGTCGCCGTTCTTGGAAGCCCCTCACGCATTTCAACGATTCGCCCCCCAAGAGTTCAAAAAAGTTTTTTGCACATTGGAGTTCCACGTTTCGAGCAACCGAGGGCGCCAAGTAAAAGTGAGGATTCAGTTTAAACTTATTTGCGCTTCTCAATTCATTCCTCCTCATTCATTGGGTTTTCACATTCATGTTATGCGAAAGGTTTAGGACGGTTTTGGAAAAATGTATCTGTTGTAGAAAATCAGGGCAAGGATCACGACAAACGTTTCGTTGTTGAATTCGATTAGAGATCACATCTTGTCTCATAAACATTTATAACGCATAGACAACACGTATCAGATAGCTCTCGATAAACGTCTATTAAAGACACCAGGTGGAGCTCCCCTAATTATTTCACAAAAACAGCTAGCAATATTAATCGCTGGAGAATGGGAATCACAGAAAACTTTATTGAAGCAGCACTTATTACCATTGGTAAGTAAAATTTATTGAGTTTTCTTGAATTCAAATTCGACATTTTAATTATTTGATCGATGAATTATATAATAGACTTCTCTGGTCGCAAAGTCAATTGACTCATTTGAAAAGAATCCGTCGGAACGACAAGAGACCATTACTAGATTACTTAGATACCTCGACACCGATACAATATGGTAATAGATCTCACGAATTGCTCGCAGGAGAAATATATTAATCGGTTAGATCAACCATGTCTGTTGTTTAGCTATCAGGAAGTCTATCCGGGCATTCTGGTTAAGCTCCAAGAACAGTGCTGGCATCCAATTATAGATTGGGTGCAAAAGTACTATGAAGTGGACATTAAAACAACAAACGGTATCACCGGTATGCAACTTCCGGAGACCAAGGACAGATTAAAATCTGTTGTCGAAAAGTTCGGCAACTTAAAATTGTCCGGTAACATGTCATAAAAAAAGGTGGAACGTTAACGTAAATGAAATCTAAATTCTCTAATTCATTTTCAATTGTTTCGATCAGCATTTGAACGAGCAACAATGCTTTCCAAGTCTTTTCTTATAGGACTTGGTCTGGTAGAACGAAAGTTGACAGTCGAGGAAGCTTTCAAGGCCACACAGGTCGAGACCATTTCGCAGACAATGAAGTGGGGAGAGCTTGAAGATGGTTGTATTTGGATCTGATCCTAAGCTCAATTGCATATCACATATACCTAATTGGCAATTTGTAATTTCAGCTCACGGTGTTGATAATGAATATATTAGACGTCAACTTGGATCCGTCGCATGTACCTTGATGGCCAGTCATACCTGAAATAAAAAGGGGAAATGAAAGAGCAAATTACGGGGGGGGGAGTCAAACCTCGAATAGAAACGTGTTGATTTATCTATTTTAGGGTGAGACGGACATCATCCTATGCTTGAATCAATTGGTCTCAACGGAGATGATTGTTTTCGTTACATCATCAGCGCTTATGGGATCAGGGCTCGATGCTGCAATATTATTAGAATGATTTGTATCTATTGCTTCCTTGGGTGATCGTCTCCACTCTACGGGGAATCGAATTATCTTTTTCTTCTTGATATGCCTGAGGTCAACTGTGATATCATCAAATTTATTTTCAGGATCCTAATTTTTAAGGATGTGTTTGCGCGTTAATGTAATTTGGTCTACAAAATATCCATACAATTAAATTCATATACCTTTGCTGCTTCTAAAAGTCGGTCGATCAAATCGCCAAGGTACTTTTTATTTTGCGCGAGATGGGGAAATTTCTCACACGAGAATTTGAAAGTGTTACGCCCATCAAATCTTGGACCGCAAAGTAATTTGAACCTATGTTCTTGCTCCGGAGTTAACTGCAAGTCACCCAATTTCACCGTCAGCACAACCTTATTTTGAAGTGGATGATCTTCCCCAATATAATACGTCCTCTTAAACAATAATATTTGATCCCTATTTGGAGGTTCATAGGTTTGCGCAAATTCTGGAATGCAAACGTGTGAAATTAAAATTTACATCATCATTTTACATTTTTAGTCCGAATTACTCCTTCCTTTACAGCACAAGTCTACATCCTCATCCCC